ATCTTTATAAAGATCAAATCTCAGAAATCTTTGTTTTTACTGCAGGATGAGACCCAAACCTGCAGGTTTTTATTCTAAACTCTGCTGACTCAGCAATTTATAAACCTGACTTTAATCTGAAGGATAGATTCTGCTTTTTAATTTCTGGACGTGTTGAAGCTGAAACAGCCGAAGAGCTGCATAAAAACAGCCAAAGAGCTGCTGAAAAACAGCCGAAGAGCTGCTGAAAACAGCCAAAGAGCTGCTGAAAAACAGCCGAAGAGCTGCTGAAAAACAGCCGAAGAGCTGCTGAAAAACAGCCGAAGAGCTGCTGAAAACAGCTGAAGAGCTGCATAAAAACAGCCGAAGAGCTGCATAAAAACAGCCGAAGAGCTGCTGAAAAACAGCCGAAGAGCTGCTGAAAACAGCCGAAGAGCTGCTGAAAAACAGCCGAAGAGCTGCTGAAAACAGCTGAAGAGCTGCTGAAAAACAGCCGAAGAGCTGCTGAAAACAGCCGAAGAGCTGCTGAAAACCAGCCGAAGAGCTGCGGAAACTCAGCTCACATGATGCAGGACAGTTTGACTGAAGAGATGTGAAGGTTCAGAAAGAAGGAAAGTTTGGATCCAGAATGAGAAAAAGATGAAGATCAGGTTCAGGTCCAGATCAGGTTCAGGTCCAGGTCCAGTGAAACCTGTAGTTTACAGTGAATCAGATCCTCTGACAGTTGAAACTGATGAAAATAAAACAAAATGTTTTACTGAATAAATAAAAACTTGTTTTTGTTGTTTTCTCTCAGCAGAACTCTCCCTGCTGGTTCTGGACCGGGTCAGTCCTCTCAGACCTCAGAGGTTCTGGACTCTTCTCTGTTCTGCTGGATGTTTGTGGTCTTTCTGAGGAACAGGCAGAAACCTGCAGACGGCTCAGAACTGTGGACCGGATCAGAACCAGCTCCCTGCTGGTTCTGGACATGAAGCAACAAAAGTCTGAACCTTCAGGACTGTTTGTGGACCCTCTGAGTCTGGATCCTGTGGTTCTGATCCGATGGGTCCAGATGGACCTCAGCAGAATCTGATGTTTCTGAGGTCAGACCAGCTGCAAAGCATCATGGGAGACCAGAACCTTCAGATCCAGGTTCTGAGTCCGACCGTATGCAGATGATAGAGCTGTTTCCATCAGAGAACYCAGAAACTGATTTCACTGAACCTTTCTGAGCCGGACGAACAAATGTTCTGGTTTAAGATCTGAACGTCAAAGACCAGGTTTCAGCAGGGTCCRGTTTTGGTTCGGACCACCTCCAGGACCACGATGCTCCCTGGAGGACCCCCACCGGGCACGGGGGCCCGTGGCGGCGGGCTGTGCCTCCTCAGGTGGCTCGGCCTCAGGCTCTGGTCTCGTCGGGGGACCATGGTCTTCGCCCTGCTCTGGTTCGGGTCCTGGCTCTTCCTGAACGGTCTGGTTCTGGTCCACAGGAGCATCCTGTCAGACTACTGCACCGACGACAAGAGCAAGAGGATCCTGCAGCRCCTGGTGAGTCCAAACCACGAGTCTGTTAGCAAAATATCTCCTCTGATCAGCAGCTGCCTTCAGAGGCGGCCATGTTGGGGAGGGCAGGTCTGACTGGACTGGGTTTCAGGTGACCCGGTACCTCCAGTCTGGAGGACACATAAAGCAGGACCATGTTTGGACCGGAACCAGCTGGTCTGGGTTCAGCTCCTTGTTCTGGACTCTGTCTCATAAAATTAGAATAAACTTCAGACCTCTGGTTTATTTGTCCTGGAGGTCCAACAGAACCGGTGCTGTGAGGACAACATATAGACTGTTGGTTCTGACCCAGTTCATCATATAGACTGTTGGTTCTGACCCGGTTCATCATATAGACTGTTGGTTCTGACCCGGTTCATCATATAGACTGTTGGTTCTG